ATTAATATAAGTTTTGCATTAAGAGCCAATTGAACTCGACTGTTATTTGTTTAGTTGAAACTTCTCATAACACACATCACATTACAGATTGCAGTGCAAACTGCAGATATCTTTTCCAGAAACCCTGTCGAATGTTGGCCACCGTCAAAAAAGTAGCAGGAAGTGACTTTTTCTTAATTTCTTGTAAACGGCAGCAGTGAAGGCATTTACTTCCTAGGTTGAATTGGTCTTCTTTTATTTTTAAATCTTCAGTTTATTAATAATAAGTCACATCAGAGCAATGGGAGATTTATTATACTTTAAATCACTTGTGATGCAGGATATAGTACCATAATTAAATACATTTAAGTTAAATTGCGTCAGTGTATCGAATGTCAGAAATATTTTTTCATCCAAATTGGTAGCACTGTGAACGACGTTTGCGTCAAATTTTACATAGCAAACGTCATTAGTGTTTCAGACACGAAAAATATTTTTCCCTATTTTTACGTGTCCTTTTTTTCCTGAGTAGAGGAGTTGCTTTAAATATTGTTTGCGAAATTAAGCGAAATGATACTTGGATCGACGTACATCACACACGGAAACAACTAATCAAGCCAGTGCTTATCGCGCGAAAGGTGAACTGAAATCGGGTTTCTTGCGCCAAACTTGCTGAAAACTCAAAATGATGTTAATAGTATTTTTCGAGTATTGTGGTGTTGTGCACTATGAATCGCTTTTACAGACTAAACTGTTCACAAGGCATATTACTTGAAATAATAAATTAATTTAAAAAAGGAAATGTTGAACTGGTCTTACTTTTTGGACACCGTATACGAAGTTTACGGGGATGTACGCAGCACCTGGAAGGTGCTGGATCCGGTCTTTAATACACCGATTGATTCTTTTTTACAATCGCTGCTCTTATAGCGCCTCACTTTGAATCGTATTTTGGCATAGTAAACTGATGTTAAAAATATGGATCAGATGAGCCGATATTATGAACTTCTTCCCAAATAATCCTTCCGAGTAAAAATAATCCATTATCTGAAATTTTTGTTGTTTAGCCGTGACCACTAGTCCAAGAGAGATGGATAAAAAACTATTTGCAACAACTTGTGAGTAAATAGATCTATTTTTTGAGCTCTACATCGTAACGTATAAGGAATCTTTTTCATCAACTATGAACTTTTGTATGGCAAGAAAACGTAAATGTTAGCACCTTACGACGAAAATTCGTGAAACATAATATTGACGATCGTTTTTGCAAGAAATTGAATTTCGCTAAATTTGGACTACGACAGGCCCTCGCATTTCATTTCATGCGAAGACCTGAAAAAGTATGCCTTTGCCATGAAAATAAGATAAAAATTTTCAAATCAATTCTATTAAAAACCATACACTGTATCATCTATGTATTGTAACAATATATATATATATATATATATTATGGACATTCCAGAAGAGAAATTTGTATTTTATTATTTCTT